CAAATCCAAAAAACAAAAAAAAAAAATTAAATTGGTGTGGTCTAAGTACAAAATGCTTTAGGTGCAACTGTTCTAAAAATGAATTTCAGGCGTAGACTAGTGCTTGTTGACCCCTGGGACTGGTATGTGGTAAATTTAAAGGTCACTCACCACAAGTTGGCACTGTTTCTGGTCTAGGTCTGGTGATTCAATTGTTTATATATATAGTATAGTACACTGAGCACGTTGGCAGAACGTAGTGTGCCTACGCAAAACCCAGATTTCTCACGTTTTCGTGAATTTGATCTCAACGGTGCATAAGAATTTTGCTTGTTGCATACGATGTATTTTCCAACACAACATTTGAAAGCTATATAGATGGGATGTCGACCTTAGGCCACACCAATTTAATTTCTTGGTTAACGGATTCGCCCGCGTCATTTTTTTCTGATTTGCAAATAAAAATAAAAATTCAGAATCAACTGCAAAATGCTCATATTTTGCCCTGAACAGTTGAAAACAGTCCTTTTCATCCTAGTTGTTACAGTTATTCCATCTTTCAATGCAGTGGCAATCATTAAAAGTTCAAAATTCATTGACATTGTTTAAATTTTGAACCAGCCTGGTGTGTTGACTTCATGGCTCCTATCGTACCATTTGGGCCATAATAGGATGCCTAGGCCTGTTTTTATTTTTATTTCGCCCGCCCGCTCCATTATTTTTCTAGAAAAATCCGTTAACCAAGAAATTAAATTGGTGTGGCCTTAAATAAGCAAATATTGGACCTTAATTAAAATGTTCTGTGGAAGTGTTCTACACAATACATGTTACATGATTGGTAAAACAGAGATGAAGTTCTGTCAATGTGCTTTAACCACAAAAATTCACTTTAGGCCTCACCAATTTAATTTGTTGGTTCTCGGATTTTTTCAGAAAAAATATGAAGCGACAGGGCGAAAAAAAATAAAAATGAAAACAGCTCTAGGCATCCTATTACAGCTCCAAATGCTACGATAGGAGCCATTAAGTCAACACAAAAGGCTAAGTTGATATTTGAACAATGAATTTTGCACTTTTAATCAAACCACTGCATTGATAGATAGAAACACTGTAATATACAGGAAGAAAAGGAATTTCCTCAACTGTTTGGCGCAAAATAATTATATGAGCATTTTTGAGTTGATTCAGAACCAGAATTTTTTTTTAAATCAGAAAAAAAATGAAGAGGCGACTCCAAGAACCAACAAATTGAATTGATGTGGCCTAAATTCGCTTTATAAGTTTATTTGTTGAGGCAGAAAATTGCAACATTTTCACGCACAAACCCTCCTAGCCTGTAGTGCTGAACATTCATAAGAAAAAAATGTCTCTTGTTTATATACAAAACAAAATGGCTGCCGTGTTTAACCCAGACCTAAGGTAGCAGAACACAGTTTTTCGCCTATGGGGATTTCTATAGTTAAGGACCGGGAAGTGACTGACATCGACTCGGATAAAAATACAGTAGGGTACCATAGAAAAGCACGAGAAACAAATATGTTCAAATATAGGGTACGATGTACAAAATAACAAAAAAGTACAAAAAGTTATCGTTTTTTTGACATTATGCCGACCTCTTTTAAATGGCCTCCTGCGGAGCGCACCGGAACTGCAGCCGACTCACCATGGCAGGCAGCGAAAAGGTCACGCGCATTTATACGCCGATCGAGCAGCCTTCCTAATCTCAATTATGCGATATCAAAGCCGACATATTATGGTACCATACGGTAACTTGCACTACCAGGACCGTAAAATTTAACGATTTACGCTGTTACACAAACAAACGCACGGCGTGTACACGTTCGTACACACACCGTGTGCACATTTGGGGCGGAGTCCAGAGCAGCGGGGAGTCAGCTCATTATCACTGGGATACCGATAATGAGCCGCTGGTCTGCACGGTAGAGAAATAATTACGTTTGATTTTACGACAGTTGTATACCGGTCACGTCAGCGCGCAATGTCGCGATATTGTGTGTCCATTACGATATGTACGAATAGAATCCTATATCTACCGGTCAAAATTAAGTCAGCTGCGGGCGAAAGTTGCCTTTCGTTTACATTTTGGGCCAGCTGTTTTCGTATAGTAACTGTGTTATTCTTTGGAGATAATTAAAGTTCGTGTGCCGGCATTTATTCCGCAAACACAGCGTAATAATTTGCCGATTTCTTCTACGTCGCCATGTGCTCCCCGCCCGCGCTGCCGAAACGGATTGCGTAATGCTCTATTGTACAATATTTAGCGGTGAGGATTAGTGTTTAAAAGATTTCCTAGGACCTTCCCCCCGGGTCAAAAAATTTTCCAAACCCATTTAGGCCCTTCCCGGCGTGAATGATATACTAGTAAACTGGTCGAAAGATGACGTTTAAACGGCCAGCAGAAACCTCATTGATGCGGCCGGCCGGCCACGAGGCGGCGCGAGTAAACAACACAAAAATGAAAAGCCAGTGATTTGTTCGGCACGGGGCTGAATA